GAACCAGTTGAATTAATTATTACCACTTTATTTGCTCGTGTAGTGATAAGAATCCCGTGTTATATTTTCCAACACCTGAATTTAAGCTTCGTGACGATTTTTATTCTTCGTCGTGACAATAAATTGTTTTATGCTCAGGGGATCTTACAGGACGCGCTAAACAATAACGAATTATGCGGAAATTTTCGGGGGAATAATGCGGAAAAATGCGTTGATTGTGTGGAAAACACGCTGGATTATACGGAAATTTCAAAAGTTAAAAGCCTTTCGAATGTTCCGAACAACACTTCAAAGTTTTACCCACAGTTTAAGCTCTTTAGTAGAATGCACATCATTTTCGCCAGCTTTGACATATGCTTGATCTTTTAATGGTAATTTGTGATAAGGATTACTCTATTTACACAGTTTTTCTGTAGTATTTTCGTTTGCATTCGTTGTTTACAGATGACACACCCGTTCGTGGAACGCCCGTAGCTTTGTAACCAGGTATTTTCCACGGACTAATTTCCAGGCTCTTCGGTCAAAGGGTTGGAACGCCTGGAGATTAAAAATTCGTCACGGGCGAACTAGCGTGTTTTCGTCGCTGTTTTATGAGAAAAACTACTTCAAAACAACCGATCTCTTCGGAAGTTTTGCTTTTGGGGTTGTAGGACAGCTGCTTTATCACTGATATAGCACAATTAGCTAGGTTTTATTAAGGATTGGTAAGTAATTTGTTTGGTTTTGGTTTTACGACACTCAATTGAAAAGCACTCTAAAATGATAATAAGTAAGTGTAAACTTAACTGATGGATCACATTAAAACCACTATGTATTTTCTGATTTGTTTGTTTATTTATTTTTTTTTTNGCATGGAATATTGTGGCCTCTGTTTCCATATCTACAAAAATGAAACAACATTGACACATAAACAAAATAACAGATGTAAAGTGTTTATTTATTTTTTTTATCAGAGTTTAGAGATCTCAACCCAATTGAGAACCTTTGGGGTACCATGAAGTGGTATTTGCGAAAACATGTGAAACCCAAAACCAAGAATGAACTGGTTCAGGGGATAAAACAATTCTGGGCCCAAGTTACCCCTGAAGTGTGCAAAAGGTATATAAGGCATATTGACAAAGTGGTACCAGTAGTTATTGCCAGGAGAGGGGCCACTTCTGGATACTGAGAATGCACTATCAGATCATAAATGTTCATGCTGGCACAAAACATAGACTGAGGCATATAAGTGCTATTGATAACTCTTGGTTTTCAAAATGTACAGCCACCAGCTCCCTGAAAGAAAAATTGGAGAGGAGCATCTGTGCATTGTCATTAAAAATCCTCTTCAGAGATATGTGAAGTTTTCTGGAATTAATGGGTTAAATGATTTGATTGGCCATTTTTAAGATCTTTGCACCATCAAAACAATCTGTTGGATGTGAGTATAACACCAGAATGATACCGGTTTCGCCCCATGGCCCCTTTAATTGTTATTGATAATAGTGATAGACATGTACAGGCAGATCTTGTAATTTTTTTTGTTAACTGATAAAAAAGGTATGAAACTTTAATGAACAATTTCTCTCAGATCAAACATACTTGTAGCCTACATTGAAAGTAAAAATAACTTTTTTCTGTCAGTGGCATATTTCTGTTTAATGTTTGCTTTTTGTTGTTTTTTTAATAATTAAATGGTTCTGTGTGAAGCTTGAATAAGCAAAGTGCCAGCAAACATACATGTAGCCCATGTCTAAAGTTCAAAAATTGCTGTGGCCTTTAACTGTGGTAACTTTTTTTTCCTAATTGCCCAATAAAAATGTATGAAAATGTAGCCCAAATTTACTGGGGCCTGTTACTGTTGTTTGATTTTGTTGTTTCTTTAACTGTTCTTCACTAACCACCTCTCCTTCCTCAAAGAATAATCAATTGCTTTTACACATTCTTCCCTCCAAACTATTTCTTGAGAGTTTGGAGGGATTCCATACAGTTGGAACACACTTTTTTTCACTGCTTTTAATTTGCCAGGATTAAGAGGTTCCACATCTGCACCAGAAGATGACTTTCCAGTGCAGTTGCAGCCTTTTCGCTCCTCCTGTGAAAAAATAGTGAAAACAAAGTTTCCTTTCCCAGTGCTTGAGTTGAGGATCTTTTGCTTGACTTCAGGTGGTATGGTATATTCACCATTTTCATCTTGGGTAGGAAGGATTTGGATGTGGTGTTCTGTCTTCTTTTGTTTAATATTTGCCTTTTTAGGCATCTCTAGGAACAAGAGGATTCTGTTGATCTTTTCTTCAGTCAGTCAGTGTGGTGTCTGTCCAGTCCAGTGGTACACAAAGTTCATCAGTGTTTGTTGTGGTATGTGTCACTGTCTGTCGTGGTAAGTGAGTTGAAGTCTGTAAACTGTTTGAGGTGGTGGTTGTGTCAAGTTGCATTGTCTGTTGTGTCATGTCTGTGAAAGTTGAAAAGGTGTTTGTTGTCCTGGTGTCAAGTATTGTGTTTTTTTGTGTCATGTCATAAATTGGAACACTTTTGGTTGTTGTGTCAGCTGCCTTGGCAAGTTGTTCCAAGTCCGTGCAAGCTGCAGTAGTGTTTGTTTTTGACTTGTTAAGCATTGTGGTATGTAGTGCCATGTCATAAATTGGAACGGTGTTTGTAGTCACAGTTGCACTTGGTGTGTTCATCAGCTCAGTGAAGTCTGGGAAAGTTGGAAAAGTGTTTGTTGCTGGAGTGTCCAGTATTGAGGTCTGTGGTGTCATTTCTGTGAAGGTCAGTAAAGAGTCCGATGTTTTTGTAGTGTTAATTGTTGTGGTTGGTTTTGTTGTGTCTATGTCAGTCACAAAAATGTTTGTTGTCAGGGCTTCAGGTATTGTGATCTGTGGAGTCATGTCATAAATAAGCCCAGGGTCTGTTGCTGTTGCAACATTTTCATTGGTTAGTTGTGTCTTGTCTGTGGGATTAGTATCCCTTTGCTTTCTGAACATGCCAAGTTGGTTTTCAACGAAGATCTTCTCCTCATTTGTAAGATGAATCAGGGGTGTATTTTTTGCTTTTATTAATGGGGTCTCTTCAACTTCCTTGATATTTGCATCTGGTTTACCCTCCTCAATAATTTTCACTCTCGGTGAAGAAATACATTCAAAATCTAAATTAGTTACAGATAATTTAGTTTGAATATTTTACAAAATTAAGGTATAAGTATGAAGAATTATGTTGCCAGTGATATGTAAATAATACAGATACACAAGAGTAAAATCGTATGTTTCTTTCATGTTGCAAAAAATATAACTCCAGTGAACTAATACAGGATGAAGGCTACTTTGAGTAACTGCATCATGTCTCCATGTTATACTACAAGTACAAAAACAATCGAAAAAGGTTGTTACTGTACTGTATATTTCAGTAACGACCAATGCTGTCTTCAGATCTTTGCTGTTTATATTGGAGACACAATGCAATTACTCTGAGCAGCCTTCAGCCTGTATTTACTAAAACTATTGGTGGGTGATGGGTTTTGGAGCAATCAATAAGTTCTTTGTTTTGAAAGGCTTTCAACAGACTTTTTTGATCCCTTTCTTGGCCAACATCTTTGGTGCTGCATAGTCATGTGTGTGTCCAATTACCTAGGTTTTATTAATGTTGGATACTTAGACATCATATA